AGAGGACCGAGGGGTCCGCAGCCTGGAGTAGGTGTGGGGACGAGAGGTGGCGGCTGGGATGGGAGGGGGGCCCAGGAGGAGGCGGGAGCCCAGGAGGAGGCACGAGCCCGGGACAGAGGCGCCACCTGTTTGTTAAGAATGACAGTGTTAGTTGATCACCTGCCATGTGCCAGGTCCTGTCCGAGGGAAACTCCTGGTGCAGGTACCAGGCAGGTGGACGCCAGCTGCAGCCGCCACCGCCCCACCACCCCCCACCGCCCAAGAGAAGATCGTGTGCCCCACCCCCACCCTGCCTCCACCCCTGAGGACGCCTCATTCCACCGAAATGTGTCTTTCCGAAAGCAAAGTGAGGCTTGGAGTGAGCAGTTCCACACCTAGGAACGTAATCGTGCAGAAATCTAGCACACCCATCCACGGAAGCACAGATCTGCAAGCCTGCGCCTTGAGGTGTTTGTTGTCTGTAAGAGGAAAGAAATGGAGACAACCTAGGTGTCCATCGCTGGGGGATCGACTGTGCCGACGCCACAGGATTCTGTGCAGCCATGAAAGGGTGACATCTGTGTGTTGATTATTCAGGACGGCAAGACACATCATCATCACGAATGCACATTTCTGTTGATGTCATTTTAAAATGATATAAACATAGAAGCATGGACTTCATAGGTTACCATAGGGTTAAGTGGATGGATAGATTCCAAGTGCTTGGAATTCTGTCCGGCCCCACACAGTAGCATAGTCAGACGCTCTTGTGGATGTTGCTGTCGCTGGTGTTTAGTTCTTAATCTGGCCGTATCCAAGCTTTCCTGATAACTTTCAAAGCTTAGGAAAGACTGACGATTAGCCTCCCCACCAGCCTTTCTGTACACGTGGATTCTTCATAGAAAAAGCTTCCTACTCCTAGGGGGCATGCCACTTTTCCTGTGATGACATCCCTCCACGGATCCATACCGGGGGCCACAACTCGTCTTGACTTGCTGGGGACCATCCAATTTTAAAATTCTGTGGCAGCCTGGGAGAATCAGGACAGTGGAGCCCTCTGTGGAGGCCCTTGATGACCTGGAGGATTTAGAAAAAAATACAGACTAGCAATCATTAACTGCTTTTCATGTATACTTGGGGCAGGGGGTGGGGGGAATCCCCTATGTGTGGTATATCAGATTGGAATACTAGTCAGTCCTGAAAAGGGAAAGCACACATGCTACCACATGGATGGAATTTGAGGACATTCTCCTAGGCAAGACAAGCCATGCACAAAAAGACAAATCCTGCAGAGTAAAGCAACGGGTGGTCAGCCTCTGTGTGCCAAAACAAAAAGAGCTCTGGGCATGGGTGGCACACACAGCAAGCCCGTTCCAGATACCACTGAACCCGGGCCTAGAGATGGTGAGGGTGGACATTTTTATGTTACATGTTATTTTACCCAAGCTGCTGGCTGATGGTGTCATGGCCACTGGGAGCCAGCTTCTCACTGGGACACCAGCCAGGAGACGGAGGGCAAGGCCCCTTCCCTGGGGCTCTTCCCACTCTGCGCTCTACAGAACGTCCCCTGGGTCTTACGCCCAGAAAACCCTGCACGTTCAAGTCAAGTTGGGCCTGTGCACGGCTTTCCCTGGTTCACGATGTCCTGGGCCTCTGACATGAAGTCACAGCTAACGTTGACCCAGGGCTTCCTCTCCGCCAGGTGCTACGGCCCACGTCTTAGGTTTTCCAGAAGAGACTGTGGGGAGCAGAAGAAGACGAACTTGATAGGGAGCAGTGCTTCTTGTACTGGGAAGAGCGCCCACAGCCTCCCGGAATCTCACTGAGAAGCAGAGTGGAGCTCATGGGTCTGGGGTGGGGCCTGAGACATTAAAGTCACAGACCCGTCTGTGACCCGGGAGGCATCCGCTCACTCATAACCCTTCTCTGTCACTTGCAGAAGGTGTCCCACGGCAAAGGGCACCCGCTATGACACTGAGTGCGAGGTTCCAATCCCGGTCTGCACTTTCCCCCACCGAGGGCTTCTCTGAGTCTCAGCCACCCAGTCTGTGAAATGAGCATGGAGTGCACACTGTATCTCAGGTGCAATCAGACACAGCAAGAGTGTGTCGCCAGGCCTAGGACACAGTGGACATTCGACAAGTGGCTGATTTGAAGACTCGCACGGTCACCCAATTCAGCTGAGATCCCCCGGTGCTTCCCGGTCGGATTCTTTTAGCATTTATTTATTTATTTATTACTTATTTCAGCAAAGATTTCCCCACGGCTCTCAAGGTGGCAGGGATGGGTCCCCATGACGCTCGGGGACAGAGGAACTGGCGTGAAATACCACGATTTCCCATCCGATCTGCCAATGTTAGAAGGAAACTCATCAAGAGATGGGTCCCAGGGATGAGCCCTGGGAGCCTCTTTGGCACCAGGAGGAGCGAGAAGTGGGAGTGGAGGGGAGGGCAAGGGACTGGAACCGGGTAAAATGTCAACAGATCGGGAGCTGCTAATTATCCAGAGAGAACTCAATATTATGCAGGCAATTATCGACAGGCGTCACAAAGCAGCGCAGGGGAACTTGGTCCCCAGCCCAATTCCTTGTCCTTTTGGGGAAGGGCTGGGAGGCGCCTGGGCATTCAGAGCAGGCTCTTGACACCCAGGGGGAGCGGGTCTCAGGGGTCCCCAGCCCCACCAGGCCAGCCAATCCAGCAAGGTCCTGGGCCGGGCCCTCGGTGCTGGGCTTTGAAAGGGGGCTTTATGCCCGACTCCAGGCCTGGAGCCCGCGGCCCCTCCCGTCCCCCTCCCCTCCCCCCAAGATGTCATCTTTTGAGACGATTTCATGTGGAAGCATCGCTAAGTAAATTCGCTAAATGCCTATTCATCCCCGTCAGATGGGGGCTCGGTGAAGCGGTAAATGCGAAAATAGCCCCAGCTCAGGCCTGAAAGGCGCTTTCCGGGGTTGCCAAATGGAGCTGCTGCGGCGCGCCTGACCCCCGGAGGCAGGGAGGCTTCGCGAGAGGGGGCCCCCCGGAGCCCTGCCGGCCCCTCAGTCCTCCCACCGAGGGGCCCTGTTTATTATTCCGGCCGCCTGGGACCCATTCAGAGGTTAACTTGTCCCGCATTCATCAGGACGACAATAATGAACTGTCGCAGAGAGCGGCGAGGGGGTTGGTAAATAGAGGCTGGGACGAGACGGGGCCTCTCTGTGGCTGGGAAAGAGACGTTGTTGGGTGTTGTTTTTGCAACATGGGTTGATTTAGTGCCCTTCTCCCGGGCGCTCCTTCAAGACCTGTCCTTGGGCCAGCGACAGGTACCCAGGTGCAGGCACCGCGGGGCTCCCCCCGGTGGGCACGGGCCGGGGGTGCAGCGCTCGCTGTGCGGCACCTGGGGTGCTCCTGCGCGTCCCCGTGGGGTGCCCCTGCGCGTCCCGGGTGCCCCTGCGCGTCGCCACCGCACAGCCCAGCTCCGCTCTGCGCCCCTGGGACCGAGTCACCTGTGCACAGACCCGCGGGGCTCTCCTGGCGCCCGAGAAGGGTGGCCGGCCGTGGGTGTTTATTTCAGTCACGGGATGGGACACCGGGCGGCAGGCTCATTTTCACTGCGACAGCGCCTAACGGCTCCGCGCCACCCACCCCTGCCGGAATCAGGAGTGGGTCAACACGCGGCGTCCAATGAGAGCGCAGAGGCTCCGAGTGGCGAGACTGCGGAGTCACGGGGAGGGGCAGGAGGGGGCCGCGCGCACGGAGCCGGGCAGGGTGCACGGTGTGCACGTAGAGTGCGCCTACTGTGTGCCCTTCCGAGGCACCCGGTTATTCACTCCGTGTGTATGCGGGAAGGGCCTACTTTGTGCATGTTGAAATCAGCCGCCACCCAGAGAGGTTCAGGAGCTGCACACAGCAGGCTGAGCCCCACGGCTGGGCTCTCTTTCCAGATCCTTCTGTTTCTGGAGCCTGGGCATCACTTTCTAAAGCGCTGTCAAGCTTCTGCAAAGTCTAGCCTCCGTTCCTTGTTCCTTGTCACCGCCTACACCGCCTCTCCCCGGGTCTGAGACAATGGTTAACCCCTTCCTTCTAAGTAAAACTCGGAGCCCGGAGCCCGCTGATGAAGGGGCTGTCACATCAGCGCCTTTACCTGTTTGGGTTTATTCAGCGGAAGAGGCGACTGCGTCTCTGGCAGATGGAGACCTGTGTGACTGCCTTTTAAAATACTGTCACAGCTGTATGCACAAGCTGATTAGCTGTGACTACACTGCTGGTGCCGAGATTGATGGCGATAAATTTGGGATAACAATGCCGGGAATGAAGGCCTCCGTTTGTACTGCACAGCGGAGGGTTTGAAAGCTCCCTCCTCCCAGTAGCCCCGTGGTGATGCGGTCTCCATGACCGTCACCAGGTGTCAGTCCAAACGCAACTCGTGTCCATTCGGTCCTTCATTCATTCAACAAACACTGAAGTAGCTCCTACTGTGTGCCAGCAATAAACAATGACCAGGGGCTGTCCTTGGGCTGCTCACCTGGTATGGTTGGCAAGCTCAGAGTATCCAGATGGTGACAGAATGTGAGGGGGGGGTGTGCTACTTGAGGTCAAGTGACCAGAAGAGGCCTCCCTGAAGAGGTGACATTTGAAAAACCTGGTTGAAAAGAGCAGGCAGCCCTGGGAAGATAACACGGCCAAATTTCTCAGGGACAGCGAATGCAAAGGTCCTGAGGCCGCCCTGTGTTTGGCAGCAGGCTGCACACTGAGGGTTGCCAAGCCCAGGGCTGAGCCCTGGAGATTCTAAAACATGTCACACGCAACGACTGGCTGTCCTCCAGGGGTTCCCAGGACAGTGGAGTGCGTGGGACAGAACTGCCCAGACAGGTGTTTCAATGCCGGGGTGGGATTGTCAAGAGAGCGCCTTACCAGGCTGGTGATCGGGGAAGGCAGGAGGAGCTGGGTGACACACAGCGAGACTGTGGATCCTGAGGCCCAGAAGGGAGCCAAGACCCAAAGTCTCCCGGGGTCCCTGACTTTCCTCTCTGTTTATTTCCACAGGACGAATGACCAGTTGGTGGCATTTCTCTCCCGATACCGAGATATGAACTTCCTGAAGTCACATGGCCGGGACAATGCAAGGTAGCACCTGGTCCCCTCCCCCTGTGCAAAGCAGAAATGGGAAACCTGATAATTTGGGGGCTTCCTCCGAGGCTGGTCCTGATGTTGAGATAAGTTGAGGCCGGGGGAGGGGGAGGCCATGCTCATCTTCGGGCAAGATGGGAAGTGGCCCCTCCTGTCAGCCGAGGGACAGAGAGAAAGGGAAATGTGCCTCCTGTCACAACCCTTTTCTCCCCTGAGCCTTTTCCTGCCTCGTGGTCTGCGATGGCAACCCCTTGAGTAGGGCAGATGAGCCAGAGCTGACTTAGTCTTGAGCACCCCCTGTAGGAGACATCTGAGTTCTGCGGTGGAACTCCGCACACCTGGCAAGTCAGGGTCCTGGTAGCCTGTTAATTGGCTGTTTGACCCTTTTGGTGTATCCTTTGGCTTTGTTTTAATTCAGGTGTTTCAGTCGAAAATTAACAGCTCTATTGAGAGACCGCCATATAGCCGGGCAGGGGATACACGCCTGTCATCCCAGAGACAGGGGAGGCCGAGGCAGGAGGATCACGGGTTTGAGGCCAGCCACGGTCATTTAGGGAGGGTCTAAGAAACTCAGCAAGACCCTGTTTCAAAATTTAAAAAATAATAACAAAAAGAGAAAAAAAAAGAAAGACAGCAAAATTTCCCATGAAAATCCAGATTTCCAGCTAGTCTTGAACACCCCGAAGGTCCCTAACACTGTGCCTGAATTTTCTCGGGTAGGTATTACCGAGGTCTAGACAAGGCCCATCCTCACCAAACCACCACGGTCCCCACCTGTCTCCCTGCCCAGCCTGGCCCTGCCAGGCCGCCATCTCTGCTTCAGATCTCTCTGCTCCTGCTAGTGCGGTAGCCTTTGGCTGGTCCCGTGACTCAGTTTACCTGGTTATCCCAAGGGTGGGACGAAAGTGAGCAGTGACCTCCACGCCCCACAGCTTCAGGACATTGTTCCAAACTCCTGTCTCCTTGTCCTAAACGTTAACTTTGATTGCATTTGGCCGACCGTGTGCCCCTTCTCCCTGGCTGCTCATCCCTGCCTCCATTACTAAAAGGAGCCCCCAGACTCAAAGGTGCTCCGTCGGCCTCTAGCTTACAGGTCCCTAGCTGCTCAGGCCCCTGGGGGTGGAGAGGCTGGGCACAGAATGACAGCCACTGTGACCGGTGTGCCTACTGGGGTCCCTCCCTCTGGGCCCCTTCACCCATTCATTCCTAATTTCATTCAATGCAACGGTAAGAATTCTTGCCCTCACTTTCAGGAAATGAAGGGGGGGCTCTGGGAGCTGACATGATCGTCCCTAAGGTCACCAGCTGGTTGAAGGATAGAATGTGAACCCAGGTCTTTCTGGCCCCAAAGGTAGAGCAAGGGGCCATTCCACAGAGGAGGGCGGTTACAGAAGTAGCCCCAGAACTGGTGTCCCCTCCCATAGGTACAGAACGAAAACCCTTCCTCCTGTCCGTGCAGCTTGGAGTACGCAGTCTGGGCCAACGAAGTAGCCTCGTGGGCAGGAGCCCATTCTAAGTTGACCAGTTCGTGTCTAAATTACATCCCCCCTAATACTGTTGCGGTGGCCCAGTTGGTATTCATTCCCTGTGAGCACTGTCTGCCAGAGTCTCTGCTAGGAACTGGGTTAAAATCACAGGCTTTGAGGTTCCCCTTTCTCAGCTGGGAGTCTGATCTAGTATGTCCTCGCTGGGTTGCACTGGACAAGCGACTTAACCTGTCTGAACCTGTTCCCTTACCTGGACACAGAATATCCATAGGCCTACACCTATGGGGAGACTAAGTGAGATGTGGCCTGTTAAGCATTTGGCACAGTAAATACCAATGAAGATGATGGTGGTGATGGTGGTGATGATGGTGATGATGATGGTGATGGTGATGGTGGTGATGGTGATGATGATGATGTGATGTGATGGTGGTGGTGATGTTGGTGGTGGTGGTGATGATGATGGTGATGGTGGTAATGGTGATGATGGTGGTGATGGTGGTGATGGTGATGATGATGATGGTGGTGATGGTGGTGATGGCGATGATGATGATGGTGGTGATGGTGGTGATGGCGATGATGATGATGGTGGTGATGGTGGTGATGGTGATGGTGATAATGATAATGATGGTGGTGATAATGGTGATGGTGATGGTGGTGGTGATGATGGTGATGGTGTTGGTGGTGATGGTGGTGGTGGTGGTGGTGGTGATGGTGATGGTGGTGATAATGGTGATGGTGGTGATGATGATGATGATGATGATGATGGTGGTTATGGTGTTGGTGGTGATGGTGGTGGTGGTGATGGTGGTGATGGTGATGGTGATGTTGTTGGTGGTGATGGTGATGGTGATG